ATAACTTTTGAGTTTGGACTTACTTTAATACCGATATCTAATTTTTAATGTAACCAGATCTTTGATCCTTCTACAATTGCACTTTTAGGTAGTAGTAGTAGTACTTGTTCAATAAGTTCATCTAAAGTAATTGTCACTTTAAGTAATTTTATTATTTAATATTATTAGAAATAGCTATTAAATTTTAAAATCAAGGTTAAGATACTATTATTATGGCTACAGACACAATTAATATCATTAGTACAACATAGGTACTTAAGTTTTAAGGAGCTCAAGATCCTATAGATACTATATATCTATTATCTGTTGTTTAAGAATCTGTCACTGGCGAAGTTACCCTTCAATATGACTAAGTTACAAGCTACTGTAATGATATTATTTTCAAAATTAATACTATAAAAAACGATGCTGGAAGAGGTTTTTTAAATTTTAAATGGGTTTTAGATCAGACATAAAATTTTGATTAATAAACTGTTTAAAATTTAAATGCAATAATCCAAACTGCAAATACTAATTAAGACTAAACCTTAGCTATACCTAAACAAACTACTCCACCAGACAGAAATTTAGCTATAAAATTATAATACACATACAAAACTAATTATAGTGGCACATCATCAGCAGCTAGTTTTGTTCAAAGTATGAAGTAAATTACTGTTAGTGCAATTCAAAGTCAATATCCTCCCTTATTCAGGTAAATCATTTATTATAGTTTCATGATAACCAAATTCTCTTATCAAAGTCATTTCAATAAGTAAACAAAATATGTCCAAAGAAAAAATTAAACAAGTCTATTCAAAGAAAGAAAAACATTTTTTAAAATATTTCAAAGATCAATTCATCTTAAAGTTAAAAATTCAAAAAAATTTTAACTTAAAAAATAACTTTTTAAAAAAATAAATTAATTTTAAATTAAAGGTATGCCGATTTGCAAGTGAAGTTTATGTTCTTTACTGAAGAATGTGGTTTATCAGGTATAAATGCTTATTAAGATATTTATGACATCTAAATAACATCTTAAGCGTTACCTTCTCTCAACTAACATTTAACTCAATACAAAAGCCAAGTTTTATAGCTCGATATTCCACCTTACTCAGTTCTTTCTACCAATGCTAATTTGGATATTTAGGTAAACTTTTTTTACAAAAACAATTCATTAATATCTATTTTAAATAAAATATTTTAGTTGTAAATATTTATAATCACGAACAAAGCTCTTACAACAACATATAATCTTGCAATTCCTTATTCGTTATCTAATCTTTAACTCTTCATTTAAAATGGGGAAGAATAGCTAGTAGACTATAAGAGAAATCTGGCTCTAATAGGAGAAGCTAGAGATTTAGAAATTCTTGACCCTAATTCTCCATAAGGAATATAACTCAATTGGTCATGCAAGGTAATAGGCTCATAAAACGGAGATAATTAATGTTATACTTATAAAAATACTCTATTTGAAGTGCCATAAAATGTTTAAACTTTTACAATTGTAGGAGGTACTTTTAACCCTTACCAAACACTATAATTTAAATTCACTGGGTCTAAAGATACAAGATCTGCTTAGTCAGAGATCTTAACAATCTTCGCTGAGATAGATCTCCCTCCATTGTATGTCAAATTTGATAATCCTTCTTAGATATAAAAAGTAAATATTAATGACGATATCTCTGCAACTCTCATTTATGATTCGAAAATAAACTCAGACATTCTCACATACGCAGGAGCCATTCTCTACAATAATTTCGTAGTTGGTGTAATAAAATTTGATTACCTGAAAGTTAAATTTAGAATTTGGGACTACTTTTCAGATTTAAATGTAGTAAACCCTCTTATCCAAATAAGATTCACAGTTTATAACCCTGAAAATATCATGCCAAGCTTAAGTGTAACAAATTTTAAAGTAAATATTCCTCCTCAAAACTGCTAACTTTCTATTACTCCTTCAAGCGGTTAAGCATTAACAACAAAATTTGTTATCTCGTTCACTAATTGTATCACAAATAATAATCCATTGACTTATTAATTCTTCTACTACAACTATGATACTGATGTAAAATAAGAAATATTAGTTCCATAAAAGATTCTAAGAAGATAATTGTAAGATCAAACTCTAACTTCATCAGTTACTACATATCTTCCTTCAGGAAAATTGATAATAATGGCTTAAGCTATGGATTCATACTTAGCTATTTATAATACCACTTTATAAGTGGATGTGGCTACGTTTTAATAGGACGAGTAAGCACTTCTAAGTTTGTTAGATTAAGCACTTGCTCTACAAAATAGTAATTTTGGGGTCAGTGATATTGTTAAAAATCTTTGTGTGATCAGTGAAGAAATATCTAAAAATACAAATATATATAACCTTGACTCTGTTAGCTAAAAAAAGGTGCTTCTAATTTAAGCAATAATAAATCAGACAAACCTACTTCCTAACTCTTCCTTTTTATCAACATTTTCAAATAAAATTGTTGCAACTCTTCAAGCTTCTCTCACTTCTACATAATCACTTTAGAGTTAAAATGTACTTGATTAAGTTAGCTTGATATTACAAAACTAATAAAAATAAATTAACATAAATAATAAGCTATTAAATAATAATGATATCGTTCTTTAGAATTTAGTTGACTCATTTAAAATTGTGAATTCAACAACTCAAACAATATCTTTAATACTGGACCAACTAAGTAATAATAATGGAAAACGAATTTTGAACGGCATGAATTCAAGTGATGATGTTTCAACAGATTACTTAAGAGCTCTTGCATCTTCCTTACCTTCAAATTTATTGCAGTAGTAAATAAATATGGCAGATTAAATAGGTAGTATGTTAAATAATATTACCCTTCCAAACTAAGGCTAGCTCAACTTAAATGGAAATTTAATCTCACTGAATACTGAGTAAATAACACCTAAAAACCTCTAAAGATATTTGTATATGTAAAATGAACCTCAATAAAATGATACAAATATCTATAATGTAGTATTAACTAACTATACTTCAAACCCTTTCATTTAAACTGATGGCTTTCTGCAGTATACTAATTAAATCTAAAATCAAACTCCAGGTATCTAAATATCTCTTAATCCAGTTATTAAACCTTCTATTTAAAGCATATAAAATGGTCCAAACACTGTTTTTGATAATTCCTTTTAACTTTAATTCTCTAATATAAAACCATCGAAAAATAATTTAACTTGCTTGCAATAGTAAACTACCTAAAAGTGGAGTAATTCACAGTGTAAATTGATAAATTCTAGCACATCTGGAAGATATACTTGCGTTTGCAAAGATCAGCATCCTACAACAATAATAGAAGACTTTAAATTTGTATTAAGTAATCAAAATTTAGAAACTGCTTTTGGATCATAAGGTATATAAAATATCTCAAAATTTACGACATTCTATGAGTATGCAGTTTTTTGGATCCTCGGTTCAGCAACTTTACTTCAACTAGGACTATGTTGGTATGGTAAGTAGCTAGATTCTAAATAAGAATTCTTATCTTGTTCTACAATAGCTCCTTTATCTTTAGTTAATATTGGCCAGATTGAATAAAGTGTGTCTTAGGAAAAATAAATGTCTCCAATAAAAAGAAGAAGAAGGAGCATTCCACAGAAATCAAAATAATTATCTCCAGATTTACAGAATTAAAATGATTAAAATGAGTAGTCAAATAGATGGCTCAAATCAAATATGATTTAATCTGCAGGTTAATCAAATATAAATATTATTTAAGCTGGAGATTAATTAAATATTTAAGTTAACTAGATTACCAATCAATAAACCCAATACATATAGTAACAATATAATAAAACACCATAATTAGAGTAGGAGAATTTAAATTAAAACTAAAGCATCTTAGATCTGTGTATTAATTAAAATGAATAAACAGATAAATAATAAATCAAATAATAAGTTAAAATTGATCAAGAGTCATAAGAAATCAAAGCAAACTCTATAGAAATTTAAAATTAATAAAAAAATGAAGATGAGTAGAAAATTTTCAATATTGTAAAAGAATCTAAAAACAGTAAAAAATTGTAAGAGGCTTCTATTATCAAAAAAATCCTTATTTTCCACTCATTTAGCAGTATATTCTTTGTTTACAGTAACGAGTAATCTAGAGCTTTCAGATTCTCTCTATTTTATTTAAGAGTAGTTCACTCACTATCTATATCGATCATATTTGACTAATCATATCAAGAATAGTAGATATTGATAATATCTGGTATCAATTTTGTCATCATTGTTATCAGTGTAGCTATCATTCAGCTCTTATACAAAAAAAGAAAAATAGGTAAAGCAATTGCATGCATAATTATGATTGGTTTGCTTGCTCTATACTACTACATCATTTTATCTATAGTTAGTGGTTAATCAGAAAGTTATTCTAACAGAAAAATATCATCATTTTTTATAATGTTTGGTGTGGATTTCCTATTTTTCTCTTCACTAATTTCTTTATTTAGCATATTTATCTTTAACTATATCGCAACAGGTGGCAACTCAAATGGAATAATACTTAAATTATTAAATTTATTATAAATATAATACATTTTAGAAAATATAAAATTATGAAATTTAAAATTTAGCTGTGCTTTTTATTGCCTGTTTTATAATCGTTTAAATATTATATTATCTTATTTCTTCTATCTAGCCAAAATCTTTAATTAAATATAGCTAATCCTGTAATTAAAATATCACGAACTGAGTAGGTACAGATCGTGATATTTCATTTAATTTTTATGATTTAAAGCTAATTTTACACTTTCTATTTTTTAATTTTTTTTATCAAGCTATTTTTATTAAATTTTGAAAATTTTTTATACAGAAATATCCTTAAAAAGAATAATTTACCTTTTTGTGATTTCTATCTATTACTTATAGCAAATTTATAAATTGATATAATTTATTTGTTCTTTTTATCCACTTATTTATTTAATTAATTAAATTTTATCTTAATTGTTAATCAATATTTTTAAAAGAAAAAAAATAAATGTTTTAATAGATTAATAAATACAACAAATTAGAAGAAGTAATTATTTATTAATTTTTTTATCAATATATTTTAAATTTATTTTTACTTATATTAAAAGTTTTTAAACTCTTCACTTTAATCTCATTAGGTTCTCCATATTAATCTGAAGTATGTTTAATTTTTAAATTTAACTTTCAGTTTATTTAAAATATCATTTTTCTAATAGAAATTATCAACAAAATTCATTTATTTTTTTTATTTTAACTTAATTTTCACTTTTAATTTTTTAATTCATTATCCATTTTTATTATTTTATATTTTTTATTCATTTTTTTCAAAAAAATTTTTAAATGATAAAAAAATCTTATTTTTTTATTTATAAAATTAAATTTAAAACAATATACTTAAACTCTTTTAATTAGTTTATAACTTTTTATTTAATTTATTTTTATTTTTCTTTTATATTGTATTTGTGTTTTTTTTGTTCTATCTTTCTTAATTTAACTCATTTTTTTGTTTCCAACATTTTATTTTATTATTTATTAATTAATTCATTTCTTATTATTAATATTGTTTCTTCATTTCTTCCTTATAAAATAACAAATTAATTTTTTATTTTTTCTTCAATATTTAAATAGTTCTAATTAAATTGGTGATATCAGTGCATCAGACTTAGGTTCTGCTTTATAAAATTGCACGAATCTCTCTTATTTGACACTTCATCTTAGGTAATAACAGCTTATTTGTTTTGGATTGTGATATTTTTCTTTGTTATAATGAATTTAAAACAATATATTTATTATTTAATATATTTTTTTTTACCTATGTTTTTTTCTTCTTCTTTCTCTATTAATTTAACTCATTTTTGTATTTAAAGCATTTTCTTTTATTATTTATTTATTCATTTCTTACAATTCCCTTTTTTTATTCATTTTTTCTTACTTAATAAATAATCAATTATATATTTTTTATCTATTTTTTAAAAAGTTCTAATTAAATTGGTGCAATCGGTGCATCAGGCTTAGGTTCTGCTTTAGCAAATTGTAAAAATCTCTCAAATTTGACACTTGGTCTCCAGTAAAAATAGTTTATTTGCTTTTGATTGATGTGATATTCTTATTTATTTATTTATTTATAAAATTAAAGTTAAAATAAAATATAACTATTAATTTGTTTATTAGCTTTTTTATTTAATTTATTTTTCTTTTTTATTGTAATTGTGTTTTATTTTCTTCTATTTTACAATTTTTAACTTAGTATTTTAGTTTAACATTTGCTTTTATTATTTATTAAATTGATTTCTTATTATTTCTTATATTTTCTTCATTTTTTTCTTCTAAATAACTACTTAATTATATATTTATTCTTAAATATTTAAAAAGCTCCAATTAAATTGGTGCAATCGGTGCATCAGGATTAGGTTCTGGTTTAGCAAATTGCACTAATCTCTCAAATTTGACACTTTATCTTTAGTAAAAACTTTTTACCTGTTTTCTATTAGTTTTAAAAATGAATCTAAAACAATAAAACTCCTTTAATTTTTTTAATAGTTTTTTATTTTCTTTTTCTTATTTATTATATTTTTTTTTCTTATTCTATCTTTTTTAGTTTAACTCATTTCTTTATTTTCAAATTTTGCTTTTATGATTTATTAATTAATTCATTTCTTATTATTTCATGATATTTCTTTATTTTTACTTTCTAAATAACTAACTAATTATTTATTTTTTCTTGAATAAAAAGTTAGAATGAAATTGGTGATTAAGGTGTATCAGGCTTAGGTTATGCTTTAGCAAATAGCATTAGTCTCTCAAATTTGACACTTGATCTTTAGTAAAACTAGTTTATTTGCTTTGGATATTGATGTTTTTAGTTATAAAAATATATTTTAAAAAATATAATTCTTTTAATTTGTTTATTAGTTTTTTATTATACAAAATTTACTTTTATTATTTATTAATTAATTCCTTTCTTATTATTTCATATTTTTTATTCATTTTTCTTTCTAAATATATTTTTTCTTCAATATTTAAAAAGTGGGAATAAAATTGGTGCAATCGGTGCATCATGCTTAGGTTCTTCTTTAGCAAATTGCACTAATCTCTCAAATTTGACACTTGGTCTTGAGTAAAAATAATTTATTTGTTTTGGATTGTGATATTTTTCTTTATAAAAATGAATTTAAAACAAAAAATAAAAACTCTTTAAATCTGTTTATTATCTTTTTATTTAATTTATATTTCTTTTTATATTTTATTGTACTTGATTTCTTCTTCTTATCTTCATTTTTTCCTTCTAAATAAATTATTAATTACATATTTTTTCTTCAATATTTAAAAAGTGGGAATAAAATTGGCGCAATTGGTGCATCAGGCTTAGGTTCTGCTTTATCAAATTGCACTAATCTCTCAAATTGACACTTTATATTAG